CAGCGTGCGTTTCCAGTGACATTGCTTTCTCTCTCTCTTTTTTTTTTCTTTATTTTTTTTGCCATGGAAATCTGACTTGGCAAATGGAGCTTGGAGATAGCTATTTGAAAATGAGATTGAGTTTGGATGGAAGGAAACAAAAATAAAGAGACCAGATAGACCGGAGTCATGAGTCGTGACATGTAAAAAAAAAAAAAAAGAATAATAAATGAAGGGTCAGGCCAGGGAGGAGGTCAGCCCCAAAGGTTGACGTAGCGCACCCACCTTTGTCCCGAAACACCCCTTCTCCACACCCGGCTCCTGGTTAATGAACATAATTTGGCTGATGTCCCTTGAACTGTATAATCTTTTCTACAAAAAAAACCAAAACCCACAGTTCGTCTCCGAGCCACTTTTAAGTCCCGAACTCCCTGGTTACATTCAGTCTATGGAAAACATCTGTGGCGAAGTAAATCATCCCAGCCTGAGAAAGACCAGAGTGGTTTGGTTTATTTTATTTTATTTTTTCCCTTCTCCCCTCTAAGTGTGTTTTGAAGTCCTGGTTGGAAAATTAGTGAAAATTGTAAATCTGTTTGCAAATCTGGTCACGTCTAACTCTGAGATTAGGGCAGAGATTCCAATTTAAAAGGAAACCGTGACAGCCCCAGTTAAGCGGGTCCTCAGGCACCGCCAGCAGGGCCTTCAGTCACTTCCACGGGCGGCGGATTTATTACAGGCACCCGACACGTCCCCCCCATCAGACACCCCTGGAGTATTTACTTGAGACGGCAGGGTTCAGTCGGCACTTCCTCTGCAGACCAATATATTATTATAAATTGAGCTAAACTGTTTCCTTTTCATAAGTGCTATGAAGTTCGGATTTCAGATATCAGCACAGGGCTCCGGTCCCTCGGCAGGGCTCCTTATAGGATTTGGGTTTTCGAAAGTAAAGAGAAAAGGTAGCCAGAGACCATGTCTGTTTTATGCTGTTTGAGAGGAGATGGAGGAGCATTCATTTTTAGAAATGGAATAGGGACTTCTGCATGAAGAAAATAAGAATTTGCTTGAGTAATAACAAAGGATAAAGAGAAAAGTATTCGAAATGAATATATTCTAAAGGCGCACTTTGGGTACATCGCGCTGTGTCTGGCCCGGGTCGGTAGGGGACCAGCTCCTTCACCCACAGCTGAAGTCAGGAGTCGCGGAAAGCAGGAATAGATACTATGGCTTGGATACCAGCTCCTATAAAATAATGCCACTCACTTCTGCTTATCGCCTACAAGAGCTAAAGGGACAAGTCTGTATTTAAAACGTATATTCATTACAACATATAGGTAAAAGGGACAATGTAATTACTTATTATTTTCAATATTCATCTATTTCCGAGGCAAGAGAAATAGAACTTTACAAAGAAACGGAAGGAGGAAGCCTCCAGAACACTCTTGTCATCATCTTCTCCTTCTTTCCTGAACAATCTAGTCCTAAAGCCTTTAGGTGAAGCACAGGGGTCATTGTGAGGGAGCGAGAGGGGGGCCCAGGAGCCCAGGGCAGGGGTCAGCGAGGAGGGAGAGGAGGGCGGGCTTGATGTGGGTGTCAGAGCCCAAATGGCATAAAAGGCCAAGTTACAAGCCACGCGCCCTACTGTATGACCACGGCTATGTCACTACATCAATTCAACCCGAATCGATTGTTGTCCTGTATAACTAATATGTACTTTTTAGGGTTATGGAGACAGTTGAAAGAAGGCTTAACCTGTCATTAATCCCCAATAAATGTGGCTGTCAGTCCCATATCACTATTATTTCAGATGCATGTATGTATAGAAACAAGGCTGAAAAGAAATGTACTCAAGCAGCTATGAACCTGAATTTTATAGTCTTCTTTCATTGCATTCATACCTTTCAGTGTTTTCTTTTCTTAACAATGAACACGTATTTTACTTTCATCATCAGAAGAGAACACACAAGATCGTTCTTAAAATGTATCTTTACCATTTCTATATGCAGAAAATTAACATGGCAATTTAAAATGGCCCCACTGACCTCCACTTCATTTAAAGATACAAAGTACTAATCGAAACTCCTGAACAAAGCAGCCAGAGGAAAGTGGTTTATTGGCTAAAATTAAAACCCATTTATTTTTTTAACATCTTTTTTTAAATTAAATTTATTTCTGAGAGGGGCGACTGGGTGGCTTAGTCAGTTAAGCGTCCGACTGTCGCTTAGGTCATGATCTCGCGGTTCGTGGGTTCGAGCCCCACGTCGGGCTCAGTGCTGACTGCCAGCTCGGAGCCTGGAGCCTGTTTCAGAGTCTGTGCCTCCCTCTCTCTCTGCCCCTCCCCTGCTCACGCTGTCTCTCTCTCTCTCTCCTAGAAATAAAAATATTTAAAAATAAATAAATAAATAAATTTATTTCTGAGAGAGAGAGAGAGAGAAACAGCATGAGCAGGGGAGGGGCAGAGAGAGAGGGAGGCACAGACTCTGAAACAGGCTCCAGGCTCCGAGCTGGCTGTCAGCACTGAGCCCGACGCGGGGCTCGAACCCACGAACCGTGAGATCATGACCTGAGCCGAAGTCGGACGCTCAACTGACTGAGCCACCCAGGCGCCCCAAAATCCATTTATACTCAAGGTAAATACCCATCTGTGGGTTGTGCTTTAAAAATGAGGAATAATCTGTTCCCTACAAATGACGCTTGTCGATGGGGCAGAGACTTCAAAACAGAAACTCAGTTCCTAAGGCAAGCATGGGAGGCTCTCAGGAAAAGAAGACCTTCAGCCTACAAATGTTCCCACACAGAAACTTCAGTGTATGGGGACTGAGTCTAAATAGTCACTCTGAGAGCAGGAAAAGCACCATATATGCAACCTGCAAACCATCCTGTCCCTCATACCAACCCAGTGGTGTCAGGCCAAGTCCTTAAGAAAAAACAATCTGTGCACGATCACCCTCACAAGCTTGTTCGGAGAGTGAATGAGACTCTTAGGTGAGACTGATTTGTAAACTATGAAGCAACATGCAGAGGGCGGGCAAGAGATTTAGGGCTTCGATCAGCGCTGAGTAAATGTGGGAATCGCGCCACGAGAAGAACTAAAGAGGTAAAGGGACACAGCATTAAGCGCCAGTGAACCACACACCACAGGAAAGTCATTCTCTACATAATGACCCTCCCGTCTTGCTGCTGACATGGAGAAAGTCTCGGATTGGTACCACTGTACGGTTAACACCTCTCTAACAGTGACACGTGTCCCTTTTTCATAAAGACAGAACAGGACTCGGATTCACGGTCGTCAGCAATCAAAACCAGCAGGCACTTAATACTGTTGTACTTTCTTTCTGTATTTATAAACCTCTTCTAACTGCGCCAAGCAATACACTGCTCTTTCACTTAAGATGGTGATAGAGAATCTCTTTCTTTTTTTCTTTTTTTTTTCTTTATTTCTAGGAGAGAGAGAGAGAGAGAGAGACAGCGTGAGCAGGGGAGGGTCAGAGAGAGAGGGAGTCACAGACTCTGAAACAGGCTCCAGGCTCTGAGCTGGCAGTCAGCACAGAGCCCGACGCGGGGCCCAAACCCTCGAACCGCGAGATCATGACCTAAGCGAAAGTCAGACGCTTAACCGACTAAGCCACCCAGGCGCCCCTAGAGAATCTCTTTCTAAAATGAATCCATTTGAGTGAAACAAAGAAAGTGAACTTATTTAGAGAAAAATACTACATAAGTAATAGTACAGGCAGCACAGGGATATGGCAAGAATCTCAAAGCTGATGCGTAAATGACTGAAATTTGGGAAAGCTTAGTGAAGTAATGACCTAAAGAGCTAATACAAACTCTGAATTTCTAGAAAGCAAGGACCACATTTTTTCCATCGCCAGTATCTCCTTCAGAACCTTACACAGCATGGAGGACATCATGTCCTCGGTAAATACACGATTGACTGAGAAGTAACTCTTACCAAAAATACGGGCTTTGAGCCTTGGGGCTCCCCAGCTCTAAAGTCTATGCAGGAGTAGATTCCCCCAGGCAGGTAAGAGTGAGATAAACTTTGAATAATCAGGAGTGAAAGCCAGTGACAGAATAAACCCTGGGAAGCTTTGTGAGTATAGAAGGATACAGTTTTATATGCTCTGCGTGGGAAAATAAGCAGAAAACCCCAGAACAAAACAAAGAACTTAGAGCAGAGAGTCAAAAGCACAAGCTGCTCAAATCCCGCAGCTTCTCCGGTTAGCCTGGGTACAGCTGAGGCGCTGCTCCCCAAAGAACTCAAGGACAAGTACACGGGAAGGCCCTGTTGTCAGGTCAGCTGCCCCGGAGAAGAAACTAAATTCAGAGCTAGAAAAGACACTACTAAGTATTTATACAGACAGGGGAAATCATTGCTAAGTAGCCTCCATGCCCAGTGTGGAGAGGGAAATCATTTGAATACTTCACACCTACAAAAATCAGATGATTTGAATAATGGAGTAACTGATGAAAAGTCCTGAAAACTGTTGAGCACAGTGGGGAACTCCAGAAGTAAGCAGAATGGGAGGAGCAAGGGAAAAAAAAAAAAAAAAAAACAGCAACAAAAAACCAACAGGCAGCTTTTAAAAATGAGCAATATCGGGGCGCCTGGGTGGCTTAGTCAGTCAAGCGTCCGACTCTCGCTTAGTCATGATCTCGCGGTTCGTGGGTTCGAGCCCCGCGTCGGGCTCTGTGCTGACTGCCAGCTCAGAGCCTGGGGCCTGTTTCAGAGTCTGTGACTCCCTCTCTCTCTGACCCTCCCCTGCTCACGCTGTCTCTCTCTCTCCCCTAGAAATAAATAAAACATTAAAAAAAATTAAAAATGAGCAATATCTAAAAAAAAAAACAAAACAAGGAAATATAAACAAATAAATTTTAAAAGTTAGTTACATGTAGAAGATTCACTATTTACTATAAAGTACCTGAAAAGTTCATTTCAAAAGAAACATTCAAAACAGGCAGCCAACGGTCTAAAAGTCAGACGCCAGAGCATCAATATAGGTTTTGACCCTCCTAATTACCAAGCATGAAATAGCAGTCTCCTTGGTGAAGGGGTATTGCCAGGCCAGGTGTCTCTATGTCCCAGGAGATCTTGAAACCGACATGCCAAGTATCAGGGTCTCTGCCTTCGAGCTGGGGATCGTCCTCACTCTCCTCTTCGGGGCCTATCAAAAAGAGAAGAGAGGGATCAGGAAGGAAATGTCCCACCTCAAGTTCTGGGCTTTATAAACGTGATCTCAGGAATAATTACGTTTTAATAAAATATGCATAGTAAGTGAACTATATCCTTCTTTTACATCTTTAAAAAAAAACATTCTTTAGAATATCTTTAACATGTCCTTTATTAATCAAAAAATGTCTTTAAATGATGAGGGAATAACGCCAGATACCTAGGAAAATAAAAGATTTTATTTAATTCCACGCAAATAAATTAGATAATCTGGATTAAATAGATCGTTTTTTAAGGAAAATATTAACTACCAAAATCGACCCCAGAAGGGGTCAAAAAGTTAACAAAACCATAAAGGGTATAAAGTTGTCAAAGAACGACCTCTTAGGAAAACGTAAGTGTCAAGAGTTTCAAAGAAGAATTCTACCAAACAATTAAGGAGTGGGCTATTTCAATATGCTTTAAATTGTTTAAGGGCATAGAAAAAGAAAAGTTTCTGAATTCTTTTCATGAAGATAGGATAATATGTATCAAAATCCAAAAAGAAAACATACACACACACACATACACACACAAATCTCACATCTGAGAATCAATGCAAAATTCCTAAATATAGGGAAATAGAATTAAATCCAGCTGCCTATTAAAAGAATAACATTGCATGACCAAATAGAACTTGTCACAGGAATACAAGGCTAGTTCAATACACAAAGGGTTATACTTAAAATTCATCATATTCATAGATGAAAACAAAGAGTCACCAGAGATACACAAAGTATTCAGTAAAACACATCGTTTCCCAACCAACATAAAACAATGAGCAGCCAGTTCCTTTACACAATAAATACAGATCTCTCTCATTCAAAAAGGCAGCATCATATATTAACAGGGAAACATTAGAAATATTCCCAAAGTTAAGAAGTAGTAAACAATGCCCTTAATCCCACAATAACTCATCACTGTTTTGGAAGGAATGATCAACACAAGGTATTCTCTGGAGTTGCATAAGGAAACCTAATTAGACCAAAAAAAAAAAAAGGTAAAAAAGATTTTTTTATAAGAAAAAGTGCTTTTTTACAAATGACATTATTATTTATGTGCAAATCAGCCAGGAAAAATATATCCCAAGCAAAAGTCAAATTAAGAAAAACGCTAGCAACAAAAGTGTGCATATTAAAACATCCAGCAAGATTCTTAAATGTGTACTGTCTATAAGAAAAAAAACTTTTAAAATATTACTGAAGGACACAAAAGAAAATTTAAACAGATGTAAAGACATATTATGTTCTTGGGAAATAAGACTCCCTAAATTCACCCATACATTTAATACAAACCTAATAAAAATACCAGTAGGACTGATTTTTAGTTAAGTGGAGTTGGTAACTAAATAAGCTGATTCTACAAATCACACGGAAATATAAACAAGCGAGCATAGCCAGGAATTGTTTTTAATATATAAAAAGTACCTGAAGACAGAATACCTAAAAGAAAACAAGTGTGTAAACATTTCAGAGATGTTCAAATTTATTCATTTAAGAGAAATGCAAATTAAAGCCACAACAGATATTTGGTAACTTATCAGATCAGAAATGATCAAACACTTTGATAAACTATGGTATCAGTAAGAGTACAGCACAGTGGCATATTCACACTCTCCGTAGAGAAAAATCTGGCAATACGTATCAAAATTACAAATGCATTTAACACTTGGAATGTATGGGAATTCCACAATTCCACTTGGAAGAATGTATCCTCAAATTCCTACCTGCAAAGGCTGCAAAACGACTTTAGAGCAAGGATGCTTACTGTACCACTGTTCAGAAGAGCCCAAGATCAGAAAAAACCCAAATATCCATCAATAAGTTTCTGGTTAAATAAATTACGAAATGTCCAGGCAATAAAATATTATGTAGCCACTGCAAGTATTCCGTCTATGCACTGACACAGAACTATGTGATATATTTTTAAGAGAAAGAAACTGACAGGCCATGATTTGTGTAAAATACAAACGCATACACACACGTGTGTATATATATGTACAGGTAATATTTCCAAAAGGATACTCAAGATTGATTTTTCTGGGAGGAGAACTACGTGGCTGGAGTCCAGGAGGGGAGAGACACGTGAACGAAGTAAAAGGCACACAATATGATCTGCCTACATGAAGAGTCCTGCAGGGTGGTCCTATATAAAAACTTATATAAGAGTTCATTTAAGAAATATTTATTGAGCACTTATTATACATGAGGCACTGACCTGGGCACTTGGGATCTATCAGTGAATGAATCAAAGAGCTTTGCCCCAGTGTAGCTGTCTTTCTGATGAAGTTGTAAATGGTCATCGCTGATTACTAGAAAAAGGACATTTTAAATTCCATTAGACACTAGACTCTGGTCTTCCAGGGGAGGGTCCAATTTTCTGTTTCATCTGCATTTAGAGCCCTACTAAGGGGCCCACAGAAGGCATTCAGTGAAGAGTTGTACTTAAGTACTTACTTAAGAAACAAAATGCAGGAGCCCCTGGGTGGCTCAGTAGGTTAAGCTTCCACCTTCGGCTCAGGTCATGATTTCAGGGTTTGTGAGTTCAAGCCCCGCGTTGGGCTCTGTGCTGACAGCTCAGAGCCTGGAGCCTGCTTCAGGTTCTGTGTGCTCCTCTCTCTCTCTCCCCCTCCCCTGCTCATACTCTGTCTCTTTCAGTCTCTCAAAACTAAATAAACATTGAAACAATATTTTTTAAGGCTCTTTCAGTTCACATATTTTACAATCCTTGCTGGACTAGATGGCAGGAAAAAAATGTTAATTCCGGGGCCTGAGGGGGAAGGAAACACTGCAAATTAAACCACATTACATAATAAAGCATGGCCTGAGGGCTGGAATGGATAGAGCAGAATTCTTGGAGAAGAGCAAATGTGAAAGACAAGAAGCAGACAGAAAGATGCAAAGTTTCATGTGGTCACAATGGGCAATAAGGCGTGTTTCACGCAGGCTGGCTCACGTGCATGTCACAGACACAACCCAAAAAAGTACATGCATCCCAGAAGGCGCGTACCCAAATACAGAATTCCTCAGTTCTGAACACCTTACTCTGCAGTAACTATGCACAAGGGTGAAAGGCAGTAAAAGAAGGAGGAAAGGGGGACGAAATCCCCTTTATACTTATTAATTCACATTACTCTGCCCAGGTATGCTGGGGAAAAAAAATCCAGGCCAGAAATCCAACTTCAAAGAAGGAACGCTACTAAATGACCTTTAAGGGCCCATCCAGCTTGGGATATTCGATTCCTTATGTTGGAATCTAAAATGTGATACTGCCATAGGAACAGAATCTTCTCCTTTTTTCCTCTTTGTTATTTCTGATAAATGTCTTCTCGAGCATTCTTTAGTTAGGAGCAACTCTAAGCTAGTTTTCTTTATGAAAAAGTCATATAGTGAAAAGTCTAAAGCCATTTTTCTAGGTTAATTCCAAAACCATTTAAAAGAGAACCCTCTAGGGGCACCTGAGGGGCTCAGTTGGTGAAGCGGCCAACTTCGGCTCAGGTCATGATCTCGCAGTTCATGGCTTCGAGTCCCGCCCTGGGATCTGGGCTGACAGCTCGGAGCCTGGAGCCTGCTTCAGACCCTGTGTCTCCCTCCCTCTCTGCCCTTCTCCCGCTGTCTCTCTCTCTCTCTCTCTCTCTCTCTCAAAAATAAATAATAAACATTAAAAAATCGTAAACAAAACTAAGTTAGCTACCAACTGATACAAGTACTTTGCATAAAAATCCAAATGGCCAGCTATTCTTGAATTCCAGGGACAGGTATCACTGAGGCCGTCACTGGCTAAGAAGTAGCTACCCTTTGAGACAAGGCACGTCCTGTCTGCTAGTGGCAGTCCCCATCAGCCATTTCACCCATTTGCAGTAGCTGCCTGGCCCCTACAGCCATTTAAAAGTCCCTGAGCTTTGTTCTAGCCCTTAGGCAAACCAGGCCCATCACCTGCTTATATAAAGTCACTGGACCACACTCGCCCCGATTCATTCACACAGCAGTCCGAGGCTGTTTCCACATAAGACAGCAAGGCTGAGTGGCTACGACACAGACCGTAAGGCCCACAGAGCTGAAAATATTCATCATCTGGCCAGCCCTTGATCCAGAAACTGTTTTCCTAGCTCTGCTCTGGAGTCTTGATAGTTGTGATTGGATAGAGATGTCTACTGTGCATATTAGTGAGGCAGCCAGGCTGAATAAAATAATAATGATGTCGTGTGATGAATACTAGCACACGACGTAATAAAGTAATTAATGCTAAATTATTTGATAACCAGATCAATTTAGCAAAAGAATACTGATAGGAGAAATCATATGTTTATATTTGTGATACCCTAGAGCTTTCAGCAGCTTCGTTCTAGAGAGCCCTAATGATAACAGATTGTAGCAAAGGAGAAAGGATAGAAATATTCTACAAAGGATTTTCATATGTCTCTCTCTCTCTCTCTCGTGAAATGTACTATGACTAAACTTTAAAAAGAAATGATTTTTAAACGACAATGACAACCATGCTATAGTGGCTTCAGGCCACTGAATATGGCTATTCTCCTAAGTGGTAACGGGCTAGTAGACAACTCCCCCCTCTCTTCACTGTCCCCCACTAGTCCCAATATGGCACCAGTAAAGTTGAATGACAAACAGAGACAGTCATTGCAATTGGTGTTTCCTGATGTCTGCCATAAACCCAGCACCTTTGAAATGTGCTCATTAGAATAAGGTTTTCTTGAAGGTGTGTTTCCCCCCTGGGCTGGGTACGGAGGAGGGAGGGAAGCCCTGTGTCTGATAAGTTTTTAACTGCGTCAGTATAGCGGGACTCACTTGCTCCATAAAACCAACTTGTAATTATCGAGAGCAAGTGTAGCTGATAGCTCTGCCTCCCGTTATTCTGGAAACGAGCAGAGACAATCAGCTCTGACTTGCCTTTAAACCCCAATAACACCAGGAAGACTGCAGATGTCTCATTGTGTCC